ACATTGGAGGATGGAGTGGAAGCACAGTCACAAATTTTTCTCCAAATGGCTAAAGGGCTAAAGGTCACTCGCTCCGCTGGTCGAGATCATAAGCATAAGCTTCAACATGATTGCTCAATGAAAACTCTAATGAAAGCTCTGTTCAGGATTGTTGGGAGAGAGTCAGAGCATTAACTAATTTAGGGAATGATTATAAGTTTATAAATAAGGAATACACCTTCATTGGTACGAGTTCTTTTGGGAAGCCCAAAGCAAATCCATGGGAGCTTATGCTCAAAGTGGAGAATATCATACTATTGTGGAGAGTCGTGATTCCTAACAAGCTCTTCGGACATTGGTTTATGTGAGATTTTATATCGGTTGAAGAGTGGAACAAAGCATTCCCTTATAAAGATGTTCATCTGGTCGTTGTCGTAGCGGTGGAACCACATTTCAGTGGGGTTAAGCTGCACCCAACTATATATTAGACCAAGTACTTCAAATGCGAAAGCCCCTGACAGCCTCAGCAATGCCTGCACTTGTATTTGCAGCAGAAACCTGCAATGGATTGAGATACTGATCAATGGGAATACCACATGAAACAATAACTGAACATAAATCCCCATCAACCATGGACATTGTAACTTTCACGATCGGGGGTTCATAGAGTTGCGAGCTTAAAAGAAGCATCCACGAGAAGCAATTCAGAAGCTTACTTGCCCACGTGACAACTTTTGTTTGGTGTCACGGTCATACTTCTTTAATTGTATGGCATCGTGATTTTGACACGCTTACGACAAGCTTTATGGGGGACTCATGCCCCATTCACATTTTTCTTCTGGCTTTATAGCTCTGTTGGACCTTCGGCGAGGTTTGCCTTTGCCAATCAAACACAACTTATGCAAAATCCAAATTTGTTCGGCCACACACACCGTTCGTGCGTGCATGTTCATTCGTCTACAACACAACAACGTTGCATCTAATTCTCATCTCGGTTCCTAACAAACACGACCTATGCATTGTGATGTCGTCCCCTGTTTTGGGACAGATCGACCGTCTTGGCTTGCTCGGACACATCCGTTGGGAACTGACCCATGTGTCAATCATCTCATTAGGACATCCTAAACATCCATCCATCCGAGTTCTCTCGAGCATTGGACTCTCTCGTGTCCGTGCTTAACCATTTATGACATATGTTCTAGATAACAAGTACATAATCCAACCTCCGACATACATGATGGGGCACAATACCGACACACGTGTACTGTCTGGTACTGTCCTTGAAAGATCTTTCCAAAGGAAGACGCCCATGTGTCACAGAGTAGCTCGCTTAGGCTACAAAGTCCAGGGGTGGTGGATAACCAACACCATGCCTCCCCCTATCGTACATTTTCAGGTATTTTCAGTGCTTACCGAGTAGACGTCTTTTTAGCTTGTAGACATACAGTTTCGTGCATAGTCCATCAAATATCCGATTGACACCAAATTTAGTGAGTTTTCATATTTCATTTAGACGGACTTAATTCCTGAGCCGCATACCGAAACTCCGACTTCTAAGGTTATGACCCAGGACCCTACTCAGCCTTCTTCAAGCTTGTCTTCAACACTCATGTCCCCTCATTCTCTCGAACCTTGTGTATGTCTCGACTTAGCTTCAAGGTGCACTTTTAGTGCGTTGGATGATACACCGTCCTCCTCGGTCGCATCATGACACTTTTCAATCTTGACTCTCGTCTGACTGGATGGATGCCCCTTGTCAGTCATGCATTTGAGTGTCATAACCTACTTCATTCGTCGTACTCAATGGCTCGCACAATCATAGACACAAGCGCCGTAATTTGTCCAAAGTCTAGCAATGAAAGAACGGCTGTATTCACCTCAGCAGGTCTAATCCTTTCTTCCCACTTATCAAGTTCTCATCTTGCCCTTCCCGTCTATATCCGGTTCCGGGCAGCTCCTATGTAAGAATTTCTCACGTTATTTTCACTATACACTGGTACAAGGTAATTTAATTTTAGTGGAAAAAACAGGTTATTAAATACATAGTATATATTATTAATAAATACTTTAAAGTTAAAACTATAATATAAAAACAAGGCCCACCAAATCTGTCCCCATGCTAGATACATCATTAAATTTAATTATAATGATTAGCTTGTTAGAAAAAATTTAAATTCAATAATTATAGCTTGTAATGGCAGACATGAGTAATTATGACACGGACTTTAAACTTCATATTATGTGGGCATTTTTTTCATTATTTTCACACATTTCATCTTTTATTGCTCATTGGACCCTATATATATAAAGTCAACATTTCAGCTCAACTTATGGCAATCAACCACTTATATCGATTAATATTAAACTCCATATTTTTATAAATAAACCAAAGTTTGGAAGGTTGGTATAAACTTGGTTATGTAACAAAACATATGAATTAAAAGTAATCACATAGTATTAATTAGGTATAATTAGACTGTAGGCATGTGAACTAATAATTAGGCAATGAAAATGTGTGACTCAATACATTATTTCTTTTACCAAGTTATTATAATGCCGATTTGACCCACGACCATGCCAAAAATTCAGTTTCTTCTTTCCACGTGTACATATCTAAGTTTTTTTTTTTTTTTTTTTTATAAATATATAGTCGTGTAGGAGAGAGTGAAGAGTGACTATAACGTGACGAGTAAATGTAACTGTGAAAGTAATGATTAAACACCGTCCATGAAGAAAGTGATTGATTTCATGCAATCACATATCTACTATTCTTAATACTTCGTTGACTCTTTTTATTTATTTATTTTTTCACGAGAAAATGAACCATCGATTTTATACATTTATTTACGTATTTTATTCTTAACTTCTTTATTTATTTTTTGTGACAAAAATGATGTAATCGTGTATTTATGTTTAATAATTTATTTATTTCTAAAAGAAAATACAGAAAATAAAGATTTGGCATAATGGGAAGCCAATACATGGAGACAAAAATAAATGATGTTTTTGACACCCATGCCCTAGCTATCTCCTTCCGATGATCCAGGCCCACCAGACCATGGCCCAGAAAAAGAGACTCAAATCCTTTTTATTTAAAAATTATATTAAAAAATAGATAATAAAATTAAAAAGGGATTTTTTTTTATTAGGACGCTATAAACACGTCATCGTGATGTAAGCAAAGAAAAACAGCTATAACATCCAGAAACCCTAATTAGGGTTTGTGTATTTTTACCCTTTTCAATCAAATCGTATAGTAAAAAGTGAAAAAGGTAAGAATATATGTGTGAAAAAATGGGTCGACAATTTGGCACCTCGTATCCAATTCCAATCTAGGCCATCATTATTTTATATTTTAATTTCATATCATTTTATATAATCAACCTACGAAAGAATCAAGATCATACTAAAAAAAACAAATTTGTTATTAATTTTTAATTATTTAAATTTATCACGTGAGTTTCCTACCATCAATTAATTAATTATTATCTTTTTAAATTAATGTTTAATTAACCTAACATGTGAATATTAGCATAAAATAAATATAAATATTAGATTTCTACTTTCTAGAAGGTTCATATTTTTATTTTAGTTATTATAATTGTTTTTTTTAGATAAAAAAGATTGACATAATAGTTTGTAAATTGAATTTGAAGGATTAATGGGGTTTCTTTTGTTTTAAGTTTAGAAAAAAATTAGACCCTTAAAAAGATTGTTTTTATTCTTAAAAAAGAACAAACCATCATGATGCTCATAACAAATAGGTGAATATGATGGCAAAATAATAAGTTGGGAGTTTTGAAATTTTTTTTAATCAATTCAGAAGTTGGGTGGTTAGGNAAAAAAAAAAAAAAAAAAAAAAAAAAAAAAAAAAAAAAAAAAAAAAAAAGCTAGTCATCAAAATCAATTTCCCATAATAAACAAATAAATAACATATTATTTTAAATAAAAAAAATTAATAGTCATGTAATAATTTAAGCCCACCGACGATGATATATTATTTGTTTTAATCCGTTACGTATAGCTATCAGCCTCACAGTTTGCTAAGAAGAAATTGTCACATCATTCTATCAAATACTTCGTTTATTTCTCCAACTAATGTAAAAAATAAATAAATAAATAAAATATATATTTTTAGATATATATATATATATATATATATATATTAGAAAGAAAATTTAAAAATAAAAAAAAGGTTAAAATTGTAATTTATCTAAGTTTTTATAATATTATATTTTTTTTAATGGGAGAAAAAAGGGGGGGAAATTGCATATATTCCTCTGGCAAAAGGTCAAATAGAGTGGTTTTTTCTGTATAAATCATAATCATTTTTCTTCACCGCCGATACAGAGCGAGAAAGACAGATTTGGACATAAGATATTCATCCATCATTATCTTCTGATTTTTTTTTTTTAATTTTCTTTCATAAAAATAAAATACAATTTTTCTCGGATATTCTTTTATTACGCATTTGACTAACACGAACTCTCCTTGGATATTTTAACCTATAGTTTCTTATGTATAATATTATTATGAAATCAGGTTTCTTTTTAATGGTTTTTTAGGACTCTAGGAACAAATTTTACTTTTTCTTTTTAAATAAATAAATAAATAAATTATTCTCTTTTACCATAATAAGTGGATATAAAAAAAAAAAAAAAAAACTTATATTCACTTTCGTCAATAAATAAATTATTTAATACACATTGAAAAATATAATAATTTAACTTATGATCTAGATTTAGTTATGATTATAGTATGATATTTTGATTTTCAAAAGATAGGGTGATGGTGTAGATAAAAAGTTACTACATACTTTTAACTTTATTCACTATTTCTCAATTAATTAATTAATTAATTAAATTATGTGATATGGAATTGTATAACACCATTTTCAGTGCTTTGGAAAAGAATTACAAATAAGTTTATTTAAAATTAAAAAAAAAAATGTAATTTTATTTAGGCTATATATAAACACAGTAGGTCATGGCTTAAATTATTGAAAGCTAAAGAGAGGAAAAGAAGCAGTCAAAACGACGATCCATTAATGAAGAATGGGATCATCGGCGTCGGAAGAAGACATAATAATGGCGACTCTACTGCAAGCCGAACAAGCCGCCGCTATCACCACCAATTTTGCTTCCTTCCCTGAAAACATCAATAATCTCGTTCAACAAACCCTAAAACCCTTCCTCTTCTTCAAAGCCGACGACCAATATTCGTTACAGCAACAACAACAACAGCAATCCGTTTTCCCGTTCCCGTTTCCGTTCCCCTCAACCACCGCCACCGCCACTTCCCATCTCCTTTCCTCTCTCCTCAGATCCTCGCCTTCCTCGCTCAGGGATGCAGGAGAGAGCGGAAATCATGGCGACGGCGACGGCGACGGCGACAACCGCAAAGGTGGATTGAGGGTTAGGACGGTGAAGATGAAGAGGATGAAAGGGAGGAGGAAAGTGAGAGAGCCGAGATTCTGCTTCAAAACCATGACGGATGTGGACGTTCTTGACGACGGTTACAAATGGAGAAAGTACGGCCAAAAAGTTGTTAAGAACACCCTCCATCCAAGGTCCTTTTTCTTTTATATATATTATATTCCTTTGCATGGGTTAATAATAAGTATGCCATCATCATAAATTTTTTTTATACTAAGCTTTTTATTAGCTAAATTTGATATATGTGATATTATTTACGACTATATAAAATTAACGAAAACAAAGATGGGCAGGAGTTACTATCGTTGCACGGAAGAGAATTGTAAGGTAAAGAAACGAGTAGAAAGATTAGCAGAAGATCCGAGAATGGTGATAACGACCTACGAAGGAAGACACGCTCATTCCCCATCCGATCGTAATTTAGAAGACACCAACATGGGTTGCCTCAACACTTTCTTTTGTTAGAATAATGTGCATGGTTTTGTGTTTAAACTTTATAATTGTTTTGCATTGTAATTAAGTTTTATAATCAAACAATATGTACATACTAGGGCTATGTCCATAATAGGACGATGTTTTCCACTTTGAACATTCCATCCCTTCGATAGATAGAGAGGAGGGTTGAGCTTTTCTTGGTTTTTTTCCGTGTTGTCAAAGAGTTGAACAATGAAAATAGATGGCGCGTGCCTAATCGAATTGATCGGGTCATGTAGGAACAAACTTCAAGTCTACCGGTTTGTTAGGATGCCTCAGTTGCATACATCACTGCATTTCCACTTTACATCATTACATTTTCACTTGACATGGCTAAATTAGAGGTATGACTCTGATATAATGTTAGAAATCAGGACTGTCTATATAGTATAATATTATCTACTTTAAGCATAAGCTCCGACGGATTTGCAATTGGTTTCCTCAAAATGCCTTATTCTAATAGAGATGTATTCATTACTTATTAACCCAGGATCAACCCCTTAATTAGTTGATATGAGACTCTCCCAACGATCTCAAAATGTTTGTTCTCGGTGGGTTTCTGCATTCTTCTTTTTAGATCTCTAGGTTTATATGAAACTTTGGTGGAGTAATATCACATTTTTTAAAAAAATAATTAATTAATTACTAAAATATCACCTCTTCTTTAAAAGAAATGATTATGTTAGGATTGATGTTATTATGAGTGGATATTTATGTAATTAAGTTACCTAGGAAGACTATTTGTGTACTTATGGTATATCTACATGGGTTATTTAGGCCCAAATTTTTAACACAGTCCAAGTGTTATGGGCCTAAATTACATGTGTTTTGGGCTTTTATTGGGCCGAGCGAAACGTAGGCCCATCTGAGCTGTAAGCTACATGAGAGAAAGAGATTGGAGTTCATCATTGTGGTTTAGAACTTGGGCTTTTAACACAAATCTATATCAATACGAGATTAATTTGTTTTTATTTAATCACAAATTTAAAAATTTATTTAATAGCAAATAATTGTGGTGAAATAATGTAATTTAAAAAATGAAGATTTTATAAATAATAATATAAAAAAAGGAAACATGACCAAACAGCTTTCTAATTAAGTTTAGCAAAGTAAAACTGGGTCAGTGACGGTCGAGGAACGTGTAAAGTAAAAACAAGATTAAGATAATTACCGGCGATAATAATTATTTAATCCTTAAAATAATAAAAGCAAGACAAAATAAATAAATAAATAACAAAAGAAACTAATGCACGTGAGGTCTACTAATTTCAACGTCGACAAGCCAATCTTTTGGAATTACTTTATTTTTCGTCACATAAATCCAAAAAAAAGTAAATAAAATAATTGATAAGCTTAATATTATTTTATTTTTAGTAATAGTAATTAAAATTCTTTAAAAGTTTAATGCACGTATAAAAAGCCGAGTCTGCCTCGTAAAACCAAACAAAAAAGATTAAAAAAATAAAATATAATAAAACATACCCGTGGTGGGGCCCACCGGCACTTAAGGAGAACCACGTGTTCCTTCGTGACTCGCACGTGCTAAACCCTAATTTCAAGGTCCTTTGACGGCAAAAACTTCTTCTTATCAATATAAATATTAATTTTAATTTTAATATTAGTTCTCATTTTTGGGCCTTGAAATTTTAGCCTGTGGCTCACTCACACCAATGCTAACAACAAAACTCTACACCAAAAAAAGAAAAAGAAAACATTCAATGGAGTATTTTAATTTAACATTTAGAATGAAAATTATATTTCTAAAAAATATATATTTTTAAATATAATCATACATTTTTTTAATTTTAAATTTAAAAAGTGATATATTGAAAATATAAAAATATTATTTTTCATAATTTATACTAACTTGATCAAGAATCTAAAACACATATGTTGAATAGATATTTCCTAAATCTATTTGACATTACAAAATAACCTATTTTATACCATTTTAAACTTTCAATATCATTAAGGTTTTCAAAATCCTACAATATATACAATTATAAATTTATGAATATATTTGACTTGAAATAAAATTTTTTAAGGCTTATTATATATTTTATAAAATTGAGAGGCTAAATAAATTTTTTTTTGGTCCCTTCAATATTTTTATTATTTTTATTTAAAATTTTTAGGGAAAAATATATTTTGTAATAAATTTAAATAAAAAAAAAATGAATGAGGAATAGTTGTGGAGTCCGTTCCGTTCACACTTAGAATCTTGTTACTCTATTATGAATAAAAGTCCCGGTCAACGGAATTTGCAGATATACGGAATTCTGTTATGTTTTATTTATTTATTTATTTATTCAAAATTAGATTTCTTGTCCCTTTAAATTCCGGGCCCACTGCTGCTACTCTAATCAGTCGCCATCATACGGTTATCAACAATCGCTGATGCATTGTGCAGAAATTCTTACCAAATCAAACGGCTCCCATTGCATCAACCGTGGACAGCGTGGGTCCCGCCCTAGTTCAATCACATAACTTGATGAACTCTTAGAAATTATTTAATAAAGTTCTAGGAACATTTAGTATAATCCATCTAGAAGCTTATTAAAATATCTAATAAATATTTTAACGTTTTAATACTAATATTTTATAAGCTTATATTATTAAATCCAAATCTTAAAAGTTAAGCAACCAAATCTTATAATTAACAAAATTTTAAATTTATAATTAATCAATTTTAAAAGGGGGAAGCAGAAAGGATGCACTAGCAACTAGCGAGACGCACGCGCGGATGGAGTTCTGATTAGGTGTGGTCGCACGTAGAGTAGTCAGTTTAAGTGGGACCGAAGGATTTGACAAGATGAGAATCGAACGGTGGAGAATGGGATATGGAAAGAATACAAAGAAACGACAGCACCGCCATAGGAAGACGACATTGTAGGGCAACACCTCCGACAAGTCAAACTGGGTGATTGGCCCACGTGTCACCCACCCAACGCGTGTTTGTTTCTGATGCTACTCCTTCCTCTTCTCTCCGCCACATGATTCTTCTCCTCCCCGGTCCCACCTTTTCCATATTATTTTTTCCCATTCCACATCACACGTGGATTATGGCATTTATTTATTTTAATTACCTTAAACTACTAAATATCATCAAATAATTCCTTCTGTAAAATTAATTTACGATTTAAAATAAATATTACAACTTTTACCAATAAATAATAATAATAATAATAATAATAATAAGAAAAAGGGAATATTAAATGAGGTGCATGAATGAATAAATGTAATTGACAGGTAGAATATTAAATTCAAAAGATCCGTGAATTAAAATTCGAACTATTTTTACCCTTTATTCATTATTATTATTATTATTGTATTAATTGTTAAACCACCCAATATTTTTATATAACTGAATTTCTTTGTAATTTTTTTTGTTCATATTTTTAAATAATTATTTTTTATTTTTGGATAATACTGTGGCCCAAGTTTGGGGGCTTTATCTAAAGTAGGCCATAATTTAGTAGAAAATGAAAGACCTTTTCTTTTTGAAGCAATAATTAAAAAAAAAAACATTAAAAAAATAAAAAAAAATAAAAATAGGAAGGAGAAGAAAATGACATGCATATAAAATCAGCCTTACTTATTTATTTGCATGGATGACAAAGTTGGGCCTTTCTAAGGGCTTATTTATTCATTATTTTTTAACATATATTTTTTTTTAATTCTAATAAATATTTTAGATGCTTTTTAAAATCATTTAAATTTCGAATTAAGTATTTACTTAAATATTTAATATTTAAGTAAAGTCGATTTTTTTTTATTTGTAAATTTTAAAAATAATTGGAATAGTTATTCCTTTAAATAAATTTGTTTGTGGAACTTTAATCTTACAGTTCCACTTCATTTGGTGACAAGTGTTTTATTTTAGACTGTCATTTTTTTACCAAAAAAACAAGATTTTGGTTTATATATGGTTAATTTTTTTATTAATTATTTAATGCAGAATTTAATTCATGTTAATATCTAATATCCTATCGATTTTATTTTATTTTTATTTTTTTGGAACATATGAATATTAATCTAGCCACTGATCTGAATCAAACGGTCATAATATTTTTTAATCAAATAAGTTTTTTTTATTAAAAATAAAAAAAATGAGGGGGCACATTTTCCAAGATAGAAAGATGGGATTAAAATATTGTGCTTTCTGGGTCACGAGCATGGGTGGTGCACACTGTCCATGGAAAAACAGACAAAACTAAATAGTTTATCCAATAATAATAATAATAATAATTTATTATTCTCATATTAATAAAATAAACCATAAGAAAAAATCCTAAATTAATTTAGTGGTTGATTTGTAATGGATCAAATGAGATAATATCTACTAACAGTGAACGGTAAATGATCAACTTGTCTCTCATAATATATAAATAACGAAAAAAGAAAGCATAACTAAAAGAAACTGTTTATATACACATTTTTATGAAAATGTTTAAAACAACTTTTATGTATAAAAATAACAAAGATTACATACATTCAAATTAACCCTTTCTTTCCCTCCAAAAGAATTCTCTTCCCTTCTTCTCTCTTACTTACTTGCCTTCTGGTTCTGGTACTTCCTTTAAGCTCATGTCTACAATGTCGACGCTGAAGCCTCCGTTCTCGGTTCCGATTGTGGATTGGGAATCCATCATCCCCGACCCTGCTTGGATTTCCTTGAACATTGTCATCACTTGGATCATTGTTGGACGCCGCCACGACCTATCGTCTAAGCACGCAACAGCTACCTTCAAGTGTTCTAAAAGCTCTATCTTCAAGCTTGGATCTTCCTTTATGAGTTCGCGATCGAACACATCGGTTAGGTCCAACTTGGCGTGTTGTTTTACCCATCCGACGAGATTGTTGTCACCGAAATCAGCAGAGTCTGTGGGTCGCTTTCCTGTTAAGAGCTCGAGCATAACAACACCGTAACTGTAAACGTCGCCTTTTGTAGAACACCGGAAGCTCTGGTAATATTCGGGAGGGACGTAACCGGGTGTTCCGGCTAATGTGCTGACACTCAAATGGGTGTCCATGGCACTCATTAGTCTAGCCATTCCAAAATCTGAGACTCTGGCTT